GCTCTGTGGAGTTTAAACTCACAATGAATTATGCATTATCAATCAGGCAAAACAATTAGCTGAATCATTAAAGCTCTAAAATGGTTTCAGAATCAAAGGGACCTTGGTTCAATTTACCTTCATTTAGGAGACTCAAAATAGATTTTAGTGCCAGTTTAGCTTAATTTGCACCTTTTGCATTCACTTCCCTGAGCATGTCCAAGAAAGAGTTTCCCTTTACCCGCATGATGCCTTTTCTGGGATGTATAACTGGTGAGATCTCACCACAGCACGTTTGTACTGGTGTGAGGAGTCTTTAAGCACAAGTCTGCTATGGGAAGCCTCATTCTTCCCGAACTGTGGGGGACCTGGGGCTCTGGTCAGGGCAGTAACGATGCCCTGAGGAGCAGAGGAGGAGCTGGGTCCTCATCCTGCAGCCTGCAGCCAGCTCCCGGGGTGTTTACTGTCACCACAAAGTGACAGGAACGGAACAAGGGCCAGGAACTGAGCGAGCCAACAAAACAAATCAGCGTTACTTGCCCACCCAACCGGCTGCTGAAACGCTCCGCGTTCCTCCACGGGAATTGCTTCTTTCATTGCTGACATGTCAAAGGAGGTTATTAACCACATCCATTTGTACTGCAATGGAGTTTTCCTGTTTTCATAAAGAATGTTTTGACCAGCTTTCCCCAGGCACCCTGGCATGTCATTCCCTGCAGGAATTCCTAGACCCAATTATTTAAATGCCCAAGCAACCATTTGGAAAGCACTGCTCTGCAAGCACTGTTATTTTAACTCCATTTTCTGGCCCATGGCTGACCAGAAGGCATCATTGCATGTGGTGAGCTGCAGGCACACCTGTGTTTAGGCACTTGAATCCTACTGCCACAAAATAATTGATTGGAAAAGGTCTCAGCACATATCCAAGACACTGTCGCACATCCCTGCTACTCTCCGAGCCTCTGAAATGGATGCTTCTCAATGCTCCCGTCCATCTGTCCCCAGGCTTCCCATTCCTGTTCTGTTTTACTGACACTGCAATGAGAAAACAGCGTTCCCACCCCATGGTGTGAGCGGGTGCTCTGGGGTGGCAGCTTCCCTCCGAGCAGACCCTCCAGTCCTGCAGCACAGCGTGCGAGACACTGCAGGGCTGCCTCGGAAGTATTTTGTCCCTGTGCTCCTGAGAGGTCAGCTGAGACTTCACAGTGGTTCCTTTCGGTTTCCTTTTCTGAGTCTGCCGGCGGAAAAAATGCAATGAAAATACTTGGATCACTGATATTTCAGTGAAAAGGAGTCGGGGAATTAAGGCTCACCTGGCTCTGCTGTTTCCTACTAAATGGGTGTTTGGTTTATTGCCACCTATTCATAAAGTTATCCATCATTCCTCACGGAGTTTGGTAGGAATCCATGTGAAAAGCCATTTCAATATTCACCTTTCATTACTCACCTGTCTTTATGTCCATTCGGCCCCAGCTGCAGAAATAATACTGAGTGATGCCAGCGTCAATGGCCACTCAATGCTGTGGGATGAGGTGGCCATGGCCACGGGACATGTGCCAGCAGGACACGTGCCAGCGGCTCCGGCGGAAGGCGAGGACACGAGGCAATGTCTCATGTGTACGCATAATCTGCTCTGTCTCAATTACACAGTTCACAGGCAGCTAACAGCCCAGTGATGACATGCTGGAAAGAACTGGTGCCTGCTTACAGGCTGCTACAGCAGCAGAATGTCAGATGGAGCCGGGAGCCGCGGCCGTGCCAGGCTGAGGGTCTTGTCCTGGCTGGATTTGGTCACAAACCCTCCCACTGGTGTCACTCATGGAAACCCTAAGAATGACAGAAACACACAGGAGCAATGGCGTTTCCTCCCTCCTGGCACCGGCAGTGTCGATTCCCACATGCATTGTGGCATAATGTGGGCCCCTGGTCGATGCACACAGACCTGCTGCTCTGGTTACCAATTTCCAGCCTGTCTGAGCAGAGGCCCCTTTTCTGAGAGGCTCCCTGGCCAAAAGAGGGGGGAACAGGGACACTGACATCTCTTTGAGATATAAAAAGCAAGTTATGAATAATGCGAAATTCCACTGGCAATGTGCATAATGTGCACAAGAAGCACAGGAGGAGGGAGGGCACTGGAGGGCCAGGTCACAGAAAGTGCTCCACATGCAGCATCTCTCATGAGCAGATCACGTAGGATTTTAGTGAGGGCTTATAAATATTAATACAGCACCTGCTTTGATTGCCTGCAGCTCGCAGGGGCTGTCATGCCCGGTGAGTGGGGTGGCACAGAACGGGACCGCTCCTGACAAGCCTCCAGTGTTTACCTTCATGCTCTTTTGTAGGGTTGCATGGGCCTCTCCTTTAATTGGCACTCTGGGGTAAAAGCAGAGGTAACCTCATCACGGGCTGGAGAAGGTAAAGCGTCATAATCTATGTGCACCACATCCTCATGAAGAGAGGAGGGTACCTGAGCTGAAGAGGGGATCTCAGGAAGGGATGCAGGTCGAAGCACGTGTGTCTGGATCTACAAGTGCTGTTGGCTACTTGAATTATTGAGAATTGCCAGCACATTACCTTGCAGTCAGTGCCTTCCTACACAGAGGAAAATGCGGCAGAAGCTGAATTTTGCTCAGTGTCAATACAGAATTTATTGCTGCCTTCATACCCCACAACGCTGTTACCGGTCAGAGCCCTCGCGGGGGCTACCCAGGTTACAGCGCATACAAATGCTACTCTTCTGTAATAGAGAAATCACACTTTTGGGTAAAGGGCAATCCATTCAGCTCTGCCCCCCTGAAAACTCCCAGGGCTCAAAAGCGAGCTACCGTGTTTCACCTGATCCTGAAACCTTTCTTCCCACGGGGCATCCAGACTGAATTCTGCCATGGAATGTGAAACAAGCCTGCCTGGGCTACCCTGTCATCTCTCTGACCTGGCACAGGCCTGCACACCGTGCTGGGCTTCAGGGGCTCCTAATGAGGGTGGCACAGCTCAGGAGTTGAAAATACAAGAGGAAAAATAGAGAATAGCCACACAACATGTCAAATAAGCTCACAGTGGTTCTGTAGCCGTGACTCACTCCATGAGATACTGCTGTGGTACAGCAGTAAACACACCCAACCATACAAACATTAAGGCGTTTGCTTTTTAAGTCACCTCCAAGTCCTTCAGTGCAGAAAACTTGTATATAAATCACTGTGCTTTTCTCTAATACATCACTGCAGCACCTGCACCCCGAGGGCTCCGGCAGCCAGAGCAGGAGGGAGCTCGGTGGGACCGGCCTCTCGCAGACCAAGGACACAGACGCATGAAGGGACTTGCCAAGGTCACAGAGCCAGGCTGAGCTCCATGGAAACTCGCTCCAGCACCCACTGACCCCGGAAAGAATGGACCCTGCTTCATCATGAAGCGCTGGAGCTTTGCAGTGCAGCGGTTCAGAATAACCCGAGTCAGGAAGGGAGGAGAGAAGACACTGTGGGAAACGGGTATCTTGGTGATAACCTGACATCAGCTCATGTTCTGCATAATCCCCCTTCTCCATCCCTCTTTTTCCACAAGGGCCCACCTGCACCAGGGTGAATCTGATCGTGGTGGATTAGGCAGTTCGGTACTGCAGCATGTTACACGGACATCTTGGGACCAGAATCCAGATGTTCTCACTCTCATCTTCTCTGCTTTGTTTCTGCCTTCCTGTTTTAGCCAGATGGACCTCAGCTATTCCTTGAAGCTGTATTCAGCTTCTGATGTATTTTCCATGAGTGAAAGGGGAACTCTTTTTTTCTTCCATCAGCAATTTTCTACAGTAAATAAGAAAAGGAAATGGAAAACCTTGTAGGAAGTCCCAGGCTGCTGAGGCTTTTTAAATGGGCTCAGAGCTCAGGCAAGAGGCAGATTAATCACAAAACAGACATGTTGAACCCGTGCAGAAGATGACATTTCAGGGTAGTGTAAGGAAGAAGGATTAATTGGCTGATGGGACTGGGAACAAAAGAAGCCTGAGCATGAACCACCAGGTACAGGAGAGTCAGGCTGTGACAGCACTGAGACTATTCAACAACTTTAAGCATGAACACTGTGATCTTATTCCAATGTGCTTGCAAGAAATCGCAGATGATTAATTGGATCATTTCCATATCCTGCTCCTAAGTGAGGTGCTTCAGGGAGCCTGTGTTTCTGTTGCTGCCTGACCTACACTCACAGAGTGCCAGCCACTCCAAAGAAGCTTCAACATGAAAAAGTGGAGTGATGAGCAGTACATATTAAAGAGACAGACAAACCAGGTAACAGCCCCTGCATCCCCTGAAAAATATCCCACTCCTCTGGTTAACACTTACAAAAGGCATGGCATGGAAATATACCCCTCATTTAACCAAAATAAATAACCAGTCACATAACAGGTTGCTGTTGACAGCAAGCAGCACTTGCCAAAGATACCGAGGTCCTTTCATGCAGTGTTAGCACTCCAGGATGGTTAATCTTTGCTCAATGGTCCTTTTACCCTAAAAATCCAGGAGATAAATTGCAGTGCTTTCTGCATGGGGAAACCCACACGTAACACCACAGCCATCAAACCGAGACTCAAATCCCCTTGTCAGTTCCCCCCTCTCACTTGCCCACAAGTGCTGCAAGGTAGAGCCAGAAAAAGACAAGGAGGCAGAGCAAAGCTGCTGTGCCTTGGGCACACCTCGCTCCTCCGGCACCGTGCAGGTCTGTTCACTGAGCAGCTGGAGCCTTCCTAACGCTTCATTACCCCCAGTTACCAGCGGTGGATCTCCCTGTGTATCTTCAGCCCCAAATATTAGGTTTTCCTGGGGCTGGAAGCTGGCTCTCGGAGCACCTAGAAGCTGTTTTCCACATGTTCTGTTTCTACATAATTCTAGTACCCACGAACAAGGAGGGGTTTCTCCTGGCTCAGTCCAGGCAGGTAAGCACATGTTCGGTATCAGGCACAGAGACAAGCCGGCAGTGGGATTATACCTGGAGTGGGCTTACACACCTCCTATGTTGAGCAGCCTGGGTGTACAAGGCAGAGCTGCCTTCTCGTGGAGGAGTGTGAAGTCTCTGAGCCATCCAGGAAGGATCAGTGCCTCGGGACAGGTATCTGGAGCCTGAACTGAAAAGGTTCAGCTTGTGTCATTCTAAAAAGCTTCCCATCAACCCATGACTTCATTTCAGTTTCCCAGCATCACTGAAGCTGCCATTGATTTACTGCTCAATTTCTGGGCAGTTTGGAGAGTTTTTCCCCAGCATAAACGTTATTTATTTGAAGTAGAAATGGAATCTGATGGGAAAATTTAATTTGCAAAACCAGAGAAGGTAAAAGGGGCAGAGAGAAAACCCTCCTCCAACCAGCAAGTTTTTACATCACAATGGTGCAAAAGCAGTTCCTGTTCTGATTTAAAGCAAAAACCAAAATACCTTTCCAACCCCGGCATCCCTGAGACACATGGAAAGGACCTACCAGAGACGCCCCACTGTGAAGCATCATGGTCAGGATGTCCACAGAGCACATAGTGACACACGAGGGTACAGTCCACTCATGGGGTGGTACCACAGTTGGTACCATGTATTTGCAGTGCATGACTCCAAACAAACCTGTGAAGACATTGAAAAGCTTCACAGGTACAAACAGGTATTAAACCTAACTACGCACTCTTTCTTTCTCTTTGCTGAATTCATTTGCCATTTACCCGTGTCTGCACATTTGCATTCCTTGTTCTTGCATTATGTTTGTAATGAATTTTCATTTGTACATTGTAGAGAAACGTCTCTTTCTGTCATCACACAAATGCTGCTTCTTGTTCCCTCATGCACTAACTCAAATGCAGACACTGTAATTTCCAACTGTAAAAGAAAACGATGTTTTTGAAGGCTGCGTTCTCTGCAGAATAATTCAAAGTACGTCACATTTCTTTCACTGCCAGAGCCTTGATCACTGGTTTCTTCTTTCTGCTAATCAGCTGTTACCAGTAACACTGAAATGTAGGTTCCTGGGTGAGCCTTACAAACCCAGAGAAACTGTGACCGGCATTTCCTTGGAGTTCCCTGCTGCCTGCCAGTCCCGGAGGAGGAGGACAGCACCAGCTGCCTGAAAAACATGATGGGTGCAGGAGATAAACTGCTGGTGCACATTAACCTGGAGCAATGTTTGTGTAGGAAATGGAGCAGCAGGACAGAGCTGGCCCTCAGTGACCAGCTCTGGATCCTGCTGTGCTGTGAACTGGGATGGCTCGCTCATCCAGAGCTAGAGCTGCTCTTCTGGACACCTTCAGCCTCCCCAGTTCAAGATAGGACTAATTGTGAATAACAGGCTGCATTGTTCTAAGTTTTGGATTAACATGAGATATTATGCTATAGGGCTCTACAAGAAACCTGGAGAGGGGCTTGGGACAAGGGCCTGTAGGGACGGGCCAAGGGGAATGGCTTGAACCTGCCCGAGGGGAGACTGAGCTGAGCTCTTAGGCAGAAGCTCTTCCCTGTGAGGGTGCTGAGGCACTGGCACAGGGTGCCCAGAGAAGCTGTGGCTGCCCCATCCCTGGCAGGGCTCAAGGCCAGGTTGGACACAGGGGCTTGGAGCAAGCTCCAGTGGAAGGGGTCCCTGCCCGTGGCAGGGGTTGGAGCTGGAGGAGCTTTAAGGTCCCTTCAGCCTAAACCGGGCTGGGGTTCTGGGATTCTCTGCCCCACACAGCCCCAAGGCTGTGGGACCCCATCATCCCTGCCTAGCTGCGCATTGTGTCCCTGCTGCAACCACAGCTCTGTGCCAGCCTCCACCAGCTCACGGGCTGCAGTCAGGTTAGCTGCAATCCGGTGGACCAGATTTTGGTCACCTCAAAAACAACAACATTCCCCTGCTCCCCCTCCCAGCCCTCCCACACACACATCTGCCATGCTTTAGCTGCAAAATTAAATCCCCTTTTCACTCAGCTGGCAGGAGTCAGCCCATAACTCATGAGAACAACAGTGTGAAAACAAATTAACCCCTTCAGCGAAGCAGCAGAACATGGAGGCAGGGGAGGCTGGAGGCTCTCTCCTATAAACCCCTCAGCTTTATCTGTGATCCACACACCCCAGCACCACCCTGCACACACGGACTGCCTCATCTGAAACAGAATGTCTCCTGTCACAGGCTAGGCGAGACTTTGATCTTCCTGGAGATGCACCGAAACGCCAGCTCCGGTGTCACTTCTCGGTGGAACTGGCATTTGGGTGCGTTTCCAGAGCGAAAACACTCCCTTTCGGAAATTTAAGTTATTCCATCTTATTTAATTAACTGGTTTTGCTGACCCCCTCTCTGTATTGTATTTCCACTTACCTTGTGCTTCATTAAACTTGCATGAAGCTATCCAGCCGTCAGTGCCTTGCACTCAGGATGCCAGGAACTGTTCTGACAACAGATTGGAAATCATCATGTCAAGTAATAAGCAGCTTTTGCTGGGGTTATGAAGACACCTTTGTCACGTAAGGTGGTGCAATTAGCAGGGAAGCAGCCTAGGTCCTAATAGCAAGAGAGAGAGAAGATGATAGAGAGAAATGATTAAATCTGCTCAGGAGGGAAAGGGGCTGGTGACAGCTCTGGGGCTGGATGGAAAGGGAAGCAGCAGGAGAGGGGAACCGCGGCACAGCCACAGCGGGTTTAGCTCTGCACTGCTCTTTTAATCTCTGCACTGAACTGCGATCCAGGCAGCATAAAACATTTATAGATGCACCGTGCCTTCTCTATGGCACTGTGATAAAACACGCCCTTCTGCAAGTGTCCCCACGCAGGTTTCATTCCAGTTGTCAGCATCCGACTGGAATTATTACCTGGATAAAGTCCACCAGCCCAGCCCGGGCCGGGCAGGAACCCCACAGGGGACTCGTCAAGGTGCTCGTGCCACGAACACCATCACCTGTGCCCACACCTTTATCCCAAACAGGGATGTCAGAGAGATTTCTAGCCCATGGTGCAGGTGCTCCCTCAGGGATCAGCAAATGATGGGAAACGTGCGGCACTGCGTAACTGCTGATGCATTCTGTGCACCACTCCCTTTTGTGAAAAACCCGTTATTATTGGGCAAACACAGCTCAGTAAAGCAGGGACCCGTGTGAGGAGGTTTAGCTGTGATGAGCCTGTCACATCTCTAACTTTTTTGGGGAACAAAAAAATCTGATTTGAAGTGACTATATTTTAGAAGCTGTTGCTCACTTCTGGTTTAAAGCAGCTCCAAGGAAAACCCAGAAGAAATTACGGTGTGATGAAACCTAAGTGGGATGCTCTGATTGAGAACTCCCATTCGTAACGCTGGATTCTGCTTCAGGAAAATTCTGAGTTTGAATTGTTCAGCTCAGCCGAGTGAGAACAGGGCTGACATCTCCAGAACGTCCTGCCCATCTCTCCCGCCCACAGCCCGGAGCTGCTTCCAGGAATCTCTATAGGTTTATTTTTAGCTCCCCATTTTCACATAGATTCAAGTCCAGAGCATTTAAGCTCACTCCCGCTTTAAGCAACCATGTTTAGTATTCAGCTCCGGACCAGAGGGCACAGAACAGCAGGCTCTCCAGCAGGTCCCTCTGCAGAGCTCTTCTGCAGAAGGTGACTTGCCCTGCAGCTGCCCCGTTCCGTCTGCAGCCGGTACCGGTCCCTCAGGGACACCGGCTGTAGGAACAGCTTAGGAGCAAGGGTACAGCAATCCTGGGTGAAAGCCTTGCTCAGCTGCAGCCATAGGAAACCCCTCAAACCCGGTGACTTTAACGTGCCTGGGATTTTGCTGTTCGCATTAGTAAGAGAAGATTAATTTCAACACATAGATGTGGATATTAAAAATAGGGGTGACTTTTGAGCCCTCCTGTAAAGCATTTTAAATGGCGAAACAAGCACACAGGCAAATCCTCCCTGGTGCACTTGCACCCAGCAAAACATGAGAGAGGATCAGCAGTCGGTGCCAGAACAAATTGGTACACAATCATCATTAACAGCAAGCATGCAGACCAACAGCACGCAGTGCCAGGAATGAGGAACGACAGATGAATCCTACCCTGTTGCTGCTGAGCCAGGGGAGGATTAAATGATAGCGATGGCAGTGCTGTCGGAGCGGGCTCACACTGGCCAGCAGCGGAGCACACGTGGAGATCCCTCCCCATTTCCCAGAGGCCCAGAAAAACTTGAGGGACAAAAAATTAGGAAAGCCACACAAATGTCAGCAGCCAATGGGCCGAGGCACTGCCCCTCATCCACTGTGATACCTCTTGTACATCGGGCAGGATTTGCTTGGAGATTGGATCTTTTCCCATGCTCCAGATACAGCGAGGGGGGACCCCAGAACCTCTCGTGCATCAGCTCACTTGTGTTGTTTATTCAAAACACATCAGTCAGTGGCATTTCTTTTCATTCAGCGTTAATCATGGCACACAGCACAGTTTATGTGGCACCACATTCGCCTGCACAGCACGCTTCCGATTCATAACATTCCCAAATTCTTGCAAATCAGTCAGATTCCAGCTCTGTTGTTCACACTTACAGCGATATCAGCAAACATCAGAGTATTTGAGAGCCCAGTCAGGACACTGTGAGGTTGGAGAAGGGAACCAGCGTTTGATGCTACACCTGGAGAAAGCTTTGTGCCAAGCAGCAGTTCCCAAAGGTGCAGCCATCGGCTCCAGCTCTACCAGAGCGGCTGAACTCAAGCTTTGGTGAGCTGCTGCCATCAGAGCACAAATACATGCTCTTGAAAGCATTGAGAAATGCCCCACGGTGAGATGCACTTACTTGCTTTCATCCTCACCTTTGGACACTGCGGTGACCTCTCAGCATTCTCCTGGAGGCACCAAATATTGCCCAAGCCACCCCTTTTAAGTTTAATGCTATCATAACCTTTCTTTTCTTTGTAATTAATTTACAACATTTAAATAAATGATCAGGTGAGTGTTTATGCAGAACTGAGGCCCTGCATGGACATCTGTGAGGGTATTTGGGGTATTTCTCATGCGCAGAGCAGCAAGCATTGATGTAAAGCCCACAGTGGCAAGCATTGCACTGCCCTGGCAAGCCCTGTGTGAGCGTGGCAGCGGGTTGCTGCGGTGCATCACGCACCAGAGGCAGGGCAATCCAGGGCATCATTCAGCAGAGCCCATGCTGGCTTCCCTTTTAATCTATGTGAAAATTGGATATATGGGAGAGGAGTAAGAGCTATCCGAACCCGGCCCATAAAACTGGGAGAATCATATTTTTCTCTCCAGCAAGCAACTTTTAACAGCTCTGCTGGGTGCTTATTTGCAGTCACCAGGCAGAAATTTTCCCTCTGCTGTTTACAACCCTTTTACTCATTTCTGTGGCAGAGGGGGGTGGTTTGGAGCACGCTGCCAGTGATGCTCTAGTTACTGGGTGTTATTTGCTCCAGGGACTCTTTTGATATGTAGTCCTCTGCTGTACTAATGTCCCCATTAGTCTTGATTGCCTCTGCAGGGGGTGGTAAAGACTTCTGTAACAATGTGCCTCCAAAAATCCTCCTTGAGCCTTTGATACCTTCTTTGTGACGTTTCCCTCATCTTGCACAAGACAACAGTTTGACTTTGAAATTATTACAGTCCTGTTGTTGTCATTACTTTGTATTTTACTGTGTAGCAGGATGTTTCTTATGGGATATCAAGGCGCTACCAAAGAACCTCCCTTTCTGTGTTCCTCATGTGCTCCTGAGCCATCAAGTGTGGGGGCTTTAAAGGCGGAACTGAAATGAATGGAGATTTCCTGGTGAAATTCCATAAACTTCCTGTTCATGGGCAGGATGGAAATAATAAAAAGATATTATGTTTTTCTCTGGGAAACAACATAGGACTGGAAATGAAAAACTGAAAATGAAGAGCTAAAAGGCCCTCTCACACCTCTGCAGCCTGGGGAGAACAGCCCCTTTGTGGAAGGGCTTTATATCCCCTGCAATAGCGTTTGCTTTAGAAGTGGGTCATAATGGCTTTAATTTTCATCAAGATTAGCCATAGAAAGTAGGCTTTAAAATACCCAATAAGGGAAGAAAACTTAAATGAACTTTTTTAATTTTGAAGATGACTGCAAAGGCCTGGGAGAATTCCGGGAGGATTCGGAGGAGCTGCAATGAGGCTTCTGCTGCTGTCACCAGCAGTGGACAGAGCTCCCAGCAACATCAGCACTTGCCAGGAAGGAGGCACACCAGGCTTGGATTTCACCCTTTCAGTTCTGTTGTGCTCCAGTCCTGAACTGTGATTCAGGCACCTTTGTGTAACATGCAATTCCTGGAGCCAGACATCAATTTGCTGTTTCTGTCTCCAGCTCCTTTGGTTCAAAGATCACCAACGTTATTTCCCATCACAGCTCATGCCTCAAAAATAATAAGCAAGGGCAAGAACAAAGCTTGAAAAACACCCCCATGCTGGAAAGCTCAGCAGCAATAACCACACAGACACAACAGAGCGCACAGATACAAAACCAAGTAGAGGGTCACCTCCATTGTCAGTTGTTAGCAGCATTCCAACACCTAAAAGGGCAGCAAGAAAGCTGGAAGGGGCTTTATACAAGGGCCTGTAGGGACAGGACAAGGGGAACGGCTTTAACCTGCCAGAGGGGAGGCTGAGGTTGGAACTGAATGAGCTGTAAGCTCCCTTCCAACCCAAACCATTCCATGACATATGTAACCCAAGGGATATCCAGCCCTGAGCCCATTCGGTTTCACCATATTATCTGCAAGAAGCCCCATCACCACCATCAGGCACCTTTCCATGCTAGAACCACACCTCTTGTCCCTGGGGTGAGCTGTGCACAAGAGGGGACCCAGAGAGGGACAATGGGATGATGGAGCTGCCCTTTGCTGCAAGTTCAGCCCACAGGGAGGTCCCAGGGGGAGAAAGGGCTTTTCCCGCATGAACTTGCTGTGCTGCTGGTGCTGTCGTGTTTGTGCGTTTGCAGGAGGCGGATAAGAAGGGCATCAAATTTGAATGTTATGCTAATAACATCTGTGTACTTAAATCAGCACTGAGCAGCTGGTACATTTAAAACAGCCCCCAGCATGTCTGAACACTCTGTAAATACAGAGTTGGTATCTCCTGGGATCAATTTATCATTAATAAGTTATAAAAACAGGATTTGATGCATACTGAAATAAAAATAGTGTCAAAAAAAGCCTGTTCTTTACTTCAAATTTTTTAACTCATTTTAATCATCTGGTGTGAGGCCCCCTGCCAGACATTGAGTTGCACAGATGGACTTAGAACTGGCCTCATCCTGCCCAGGACATCCAAGCACAAAGCACAGCATCCTGTGATTCCTGTGCAGTCAATGTGGAGATGCAGGCACCTCTAAAGGGGATATGAGCCATGACTTCTCAGCTCAGCGCCTGACACCTCAATGCACAGGTTAGGGCTTTGGCTTATGCTGCCAAGTGATTCACCTTTACTTAGCATGTCCAGCTTCACTAAATGTGCTACAAGGACCTTCATGTCCCCAGCAGACTCCAGAGAGCATCAGAACTTACTTTGAACACTTTGGGATGCCACCCACTGAGTCGTAAAAATTAATGATAATTACTGGGATGAAATGAATCCCTTCTCCTCTTATGCTCTGAAATAATCTGTTGTGAACAGGCATCGGACATACATATCCTGTACTGCGCTTCTTGTGCCTCCTGGATCCACAGACTGGTGACTGCTTCATTAAACATATATTTTATGCATCCTATAAGCTCAGGGAAACTGTATAATTCAGGGTACCAGCCAGGGTGTGCAGGTGGCATTTTGATTGATGCTGTGTGTATCTGTAAAACTAAGATACGCCTCTGCTTATTTGGTTGTGGTTTTTTCTCCTGCTCATCTCTTCCTGGAACACTTTTATCTCACTCCAGTAATTGCCAGCAAAACTCAGGAACAGTCAAGTCCCTGGGTAAACCTTATCAACCATGTTACACTGAACAGCACTCCTCTCCACTTCCATATGGGTCTCATCATGAAAGGTAAGCACTATTGTCACCACCAAAGGTAGTCACGGGTGTCCTTGTCCTACAGGGTTTGGTGCACTGGAGACACGTCTGGCAGAGGGATCCCGGAGAAGGGACTGGATTGAGGTTTTATTATGGTGCTGAGCTGTGCATGCCAGGAAAGGCAAATGCAGATGGTAATGTGTAGTTTTGTCCAGCTCCACCCTGGTTGGAACTGAGAACTGAGCCATGAAACGCGCCAAAGCCCATTATGTTGGTTTATGATCTTAAACAGCCTCACGGATGGACTGACAACCTCTGGAGCATAAGATCAGTTGTGCAAACCGCCAGAGTCCTGCCCCGCACTGACTGAACCAGCTGTGCAGCTGCGGCACCTCTGTCTGGAAGGCTCCAGAGATCTTCATCAGGGCCCTGTAAGCCCGGTGCTGCTTGTATGGTTGCTGGTTTCCCCCTCCCCACAGCACATGGATCGGGCGGACACCCAGCAGCCGTCCCTGTCCACCTGGAGGAAGCGGCCCTGGGCAGTTTGCTGTGGGCAGCCGCTGTGGTTGACTGGCTGGAAGCACTGTCCTGCCTCCTGCCTGCCTGGGGAGATGGGGAGAGGTTTGCTCGGGGGTTACCCCTTCCCAGGGGCCTCACTGCGGTTACGACTGACGGCAGGTCCCAGGCTGGTTGGTTTCTTAGTATTCCTGTGTGGGAAGTGAAAAGCTGCATCAACCCTAACGTGGGAACGGGGGGAGGGCCCTGGCTTAGCCCTGGGAAGCCACGCTGAAGAGAACATCTCCCTTGCCTCCTGCCAGCCGCTCTCCCCTTCCCAGCAGGTGGCTTCAGTTAAGGAGTCCCTAGCAAGAACCATGCCCCTAAGCTTAGCCTTGCGCCCACCCCTGCAGGTTGGCCTCTCCTGACCTAAGCTCCCTACATTGCTCCAGGGCTTTAAGAACTCATGCTGACATCAAGGGACATCCCTAAGATGCCCACACTAAGAGAACCTCAGGGTGAAAATGAACAGGACAGAGAAGACGATGCATAACTACTGGGTACATGCACAAGAACAAGTTTCCTCTCTGGTGTGTGCTGTCCCAGCCCTTCCCTCAGCACCAACATTCTACATACCTTGTAAAATCCTGCTTTGGTCTGTAAACTCCTGCGAGGTTTTTGCTGGTCCTCCATCACTCAGGTTGTGCTCTCGTGGTTACCAGAGCCCCCAGCAGGTACAAGTAGTGCTGCTGCAGCTGCTGAAATAGCAGGAATTCTTCACAGGACCGTGTGAAGGAGGGTGGAAAATCAGCCTTTCTCCAGCAAGCTGTGACTGTGTAAATAAGCACAAGCAGTGTAATTATTTTTCCCAAGCAACACAAACAGGACATTTTCCTGGCCAGAAGCAAGAAAAATTTCTTGATGTACTGGGATGCTGTACGCTGAGGATTTGTTGCGTATTCAATTGCATTTAACATTTGTTGTCTCTCCTGCTCTCTCAGCTGAGCAGTGCAGCATTAGGTGGTCATCTTGATCTTTGTATTTCCTTAATCACATTTGTAAGAGATTTACCCAGTGCTCAGCCTTTCATTAACAAAACCTGGCTAAACCCATCGTTAGGTAGGTATCGAATGAGAGATCAGCTGAAGTGATCAATAACAACCAAGTATAAAATGAAAAGCTATTTTTCTTCCATGCACCATGCAGTTTTCTGCTAACCTGCACATAACCCCTTCACTTCACACTGGTTCTGCTGGAGATGTGCACCTTTCTGCAAGGTTAGGAGATGGTTTACCTCGACAGCGATGGGAATGAGTCCAAACCCCCCAGCCAGTAACCTTGCCCTTATCCCTTCTGTCCACAGGATATTTCTGGACTGCTCCTCAGTTGTGTCTGGCTGAACTTGCTGGATTCAGTCCATGGTGGCAGAGAGCTGCTGGGGACCGGTGCTGGCGGGTCACTGCCATCTGAGGCACCGTCTGTCTGAGCAAGAGAACGGTTAACCAGGAAGCACATCCTGTGCCTCACAGAGCTGTGCTTTGACTGAAGAACTTGACCCAAACATTAACGAAAATCAACCAAACCACATTTGTAGTTCTTGAGAGGTATAAAAGTCCCAGGTTACAACAGATCACTGGGTAAAACAAACAAAGAAAGATTGCTAACCAGTGCTTTGTGAGATAACCAACATTTTAACTGGGTTTGGGCAGTTTTGCCAAATGCTTTAAGCTTAGGAACTAATTTGTATGTTGCCCATGAGCAAACATTTGTGCCCATTTGGTTATTTCTTACATTTCTGAGCAGTCAGTTCTGGCTCAGGACACCAGTGTCAGCCAAGAGCCACCTCCTGCAGTTACCGAGATGGTTAAATCTGGTGACGAAGAATGTGCAGAGGAAACAAAACCATTGCATATGTAAATAACAGTCACTAACCCCTCTAATGAATCTGCTCCAGGAATATGCTGTGCAGGCTGCGAGGCAAGATAATGCTCCCTACACCAGAGCAGATAGAGCCGGACCACAGCTTGTCCTTTTCTGGGAGAAACAAGGGTGAACAGAAACCCAACACGTGAGCTGTTTGAGAGATGCTGGTGAGATTGCCTTGGTCTGAACAGAAGCGGTCTGAAAGGAAACGGTGCTCTTCCAGATGTACCTGGTGCCATTTGGGATGCTTGTGGGGTTTTTCTGCTTCTGAGGAATTTTGTGCTTTGTCAACTGCAACTCAACCTCCTTCCACTGCCACTGCTGCAGCATCTGTTTTTACATTTAGATTCTTGGCACAAGGAAGAAACAGAGCCCATTGTCACTGGTGCTCACTGCCTTCTGGTGTGTGTAACTAGTCTGCAGATGATCTGCACCATGATCATTACAAGAGTGATTTAAATTTCAGATTCTGTAACTGAAATGCAGAAGCCACGATTTAAGAGCTGATTGATGAGTAACTGTCACCTGCGCATCCTGATCTCTGTGTATCCCCAGCACCAGGTAGTCATCCTCCCTGCCCCAGTGCTCAGCAGGTTCTTGCTGGTCCCCCTGAGCACAACAGTCTAAGGAGGAAAGAATAAGCAAGAAATACATATGGTTACATACAGCCTAATCCAGTTTAAGGATATGAAAAGACCCTGCCAGATACAGCAGCCTTGCTCTTACACCACCTTCCTCCGTAAAAACAGAAAATGGGGCTCTGAAGGTCAGCGGCAGGAACCAGCTTATGACCAGCTACCAAGCGCTGAAGTTTTATTGTATTAAGATACCCCTGCATAAACCGCCCACCCTGGGGTCAATAATTCCATCTCTCGCACCCCAGCCCAGCCTCTTCCAAATGAGCAGATGAAATCGGACTTTGTTCCGGAGGACTTGGGCAAATGCAGAGCTTGAGACACTGCCCTGCCTCCCAAATCCTCCTCCACCTGAGTACCCTCATTCTTTCCCTGATAAATTCACTGCACTTTTAAAGTTCTCCAGCTTTAACTCAATCACATTCCCAGGGGCTGGCAGGAGAGAACAGAAATAAAGAAATCAATCACTCGATGAGAGACAGGCTTGAAGCGGCGCCAGAACTAATAGTGCCGAATTCGGGAAGGGAGCATTTCAATATTTATTAGGAAGGGATGCTCTGGCAGATGTTTACAAGTCTGTTTCTCCCAGCGCTGCCTTCAGAAGGCTCATGCACCTTCCCCAAGGCACAGAGGGCATTCCTTTGCACAGCTACCTCCACGAGCCTTGCAGAGGATTGCTATCACCACTTCTGCAGTGAGATCATCCAGAGGCAGGCTGGCGCTCAGCCCATTTAAACTTCTTTTTGCCCTTCATGGACTTTGGGGTTCCACCCTCCCTCTTTGCCGGTGACTCCATTTTCAGACTGTTGAATTGCACTCAGTCACATAAAAATGACTGAGGGCAACAGGTAACGTTCATTACCATGGGAATGTGGGTTTCCTGCACAGACAATTCAGAACCGTTTCAAACAGCACATTGGGTTAAGCCGTTTAATGTGGAAATGAACAGGTCAGCCCCTGGAAAGCAGGACTGAAGGTGCCACATTGCTTAAACAAGTGCCAGCCACTTGTTTAATCTACTTGTGACAGCATTAAATATAACTTAAAATACTCAACTGTTTGTTCAATCTGGTGTCTTTAACCTCCAGTTCAATTCTAACTGTACAAATTACAGAAGCAGGCAGTTCAGACTCAGAAAAAATCATTTTTCCATCCAGTCTTGGTTACCTCTTTGAGAAGCTTCTTTCAGGCTTCATTAAAATCTATACACCAAAATTACCATTTTCCCCATGAAAAGCAATATCAATGTAAATAAAACAAGTGGCAGCCCTGCCTTTCCAACACTGTATGAACAGATTGACTCACGTAAACCAGTTCAAGGATAATTCCACTCACCCATCAGAATGGGAACAACACACCCTCTAACCACAGTGAAGCACCACAGTGGGGCAGTGCTATGGGTTAGCATGGTGTGCTGGTGCTCCCCACTGCCCATGCCCATCCTGCTCCCACACTGTGTACCTTCAAGCTCCCATCCACTGACTCGAGTCTTATCCCATGAGATGGGTGTGCATAATGCGTCCTAATGGCAACACAAAAGGATAAACTCTCACCTTGGGCCAGGAGAAAACATCCAGCCACCCCAGCATGAAGACACCATGTCCTCCAGCCCCTGAGTCTCAGCACAGCACCACAGTTTTATATCTGGACACTGATCCAGATATAAAACTACACCTAGATAACCTTTTTTTGAGCTAAACATACTCACCAGAAATCAAATTGGAACAAAAAGTTCATCTTCTAACATACCATGAAGAGGGAAGGAGGTCCATGGAGGAAAGGCTGGGCAGTTGCCAGAACATTAGGCAGGGTACTGGGAAGCACTGGGCACTACTGTTAGTTCCTGCTTATCTCTGGTGCTCCATCAGTGGTTTTCTTGACCTTCAGATAAAAGCAAAGTAATTTGATAAATAGAAGCACATGCTCTTGGCTCAGAGAAATAGCCAGAATAATTACTTGGACCAAGAAGAGATAGGCCAAACTGCTTTCAGCTAATCCCCTGCCTCTTTGTTGTTAGAAAAGGAAATCGTGGCCATGTGACAAGGGGCTACGGGTGCAAGCTGCAGTAGGAGAAACTTCAAATAAGTTTAAGGAAGAGCTTTTCTTCCCATGAGAACAGTCGGTCACTGGAAGAACTGCTCAGGGACTCTGTGGAGTCCCCATCTGGCAGGGCACTGGAGCTGGATGAGGTTTAAGGTCCCTTCCAACCCAAAGCAGTCTGTGAGTCTATATTCTTCACAAGGCTGGTTTTGACATTTGGGTCTGGTAGAGCTCTTTAAAGTTCTGTTTTTGAGCAGTGTCTCAAATCCCAAGGTGGTTACCACGCTGGACTTGGCACTCAGTGGAAGCCCCAAACCACAAAGCCTTTCCACAGGGCTGGACCGCATCCACTCGTACCCCCAGAGGAGGTGGAAAGACATCCCCTCCAGCCCTGAGGTGCTGCTGGGAGCTGCTGCCCATGTTCCTGCACCACCGGCCTCGCACTGCAGCTATGCTAGAGAGGAGAGCCCCAGAAAAAGGCACAACCCCTGTCATGTAGCTGCAGTCCATTAAACAGCCAGATGTGCCCAAGATCAGGTTCCTCCAGTCTATTCCATTATGGATTAAGTGGAGTCACTGAAGAAAATCATTAAGACTGTTTCGTTGTCACATCACTTCCAAACGATTACATAATTTACTGGAGCGTTTCCCCCCCTGCATGGCTGGACCTGGCTCACATCTGCAGCAGTCCCTCCGCTCACACCCTCCAAAATCCAAATTCAAGCTGAATTTCTCATTTCCCCTGGGAACCCTAAATCACTGCTTTTCATCACAAATCGGTTTCTGAGTGCCATCTCCCAAATAGGCATTTTAGTTTAAAACCTGGAAACAAAAAGATGTCAATTCAAATGTTAACCCACAGTGAAAGAAAGCACTGTCTCCAATATATCTTATGATCTTTCATTCATAACACTGAAATTTGAGTTCCAGCATCCATCAAAACAGCTTTTGAAATGCTGACTTGGAAGAAAAGTTTTTGTTCTGAATGGAGTCACCAAAGACCTAATGTTCAGGATATTGAATTAACACAGTGACTGCCTTTGGTAAAATGGTCTCAATGACTGGTAGAAAAAGAGCAAACATTAAGAAAACAAGAATTAACAAAGTACTTCTGTTGAAAACTAACTCCAGAGCAGGCATGTTCCTGTCTGGGCATAGGTGCGATTGTGCAAACCATTGTTTTGTCCAGCTTTTCTCTTGTGTGGAGAGAAGTAAGCAGTTTAATCCCATTTATCCTCAGTTTCAGTGTTCAGAGCTGGATAATTAACACTGTTATATATAGCCCTCTATTTATTG